AGGGAAAAGCCTGCAGTGCAGTGAGTGGGGGAAGGAGAGTGGCTGGCAGGGAAGAGCCTGCACTTACCTCTTTACTGGAGCTTGCCTTTATCTTACTTAACCTCCTCTCTCCTGCAGCTTCAGGGGCTGGCTCAGCACCTAGATTGAGAATCACAGTCCTAATGTATTGCTTGGGTGATGGTATTGGTTGGAGGTTGTTAGCTAGAAAATGTTAGAATGAGATGAGGCTTTTTCACACGTCACAAGGTCCACATGTACAGAAGCTATGAAGTTTTTTTTTTAAAACCTACAGCCTACTGCTTAGTGTAGTGTGGCAAAATATAAGCCAGGATTTAACTTCCTGGCCAAACTTTATGTATAAAAATAAAAAAATACAACCTACAAAATTTCCACCATCAGTTTGAATTGGATATTGTTTCTACACTTCCCCTCTGATTATGGCCATGTACTTTTACATTATTCTCATTTTGAAGGTGCCTGTGTTTTAGCAATGGGTGGAATAACTCCTTTATATAGTAAGTTGTGATGGGCTAAGATAAATGTCAGTTTTTTTTGTGCATGTTTCTTCTGAAGCCTTTTGGACATCTGCTGGATGACGTACTTCCCCTAGGATGAATGCAAACCAACCTTTGAAATTCAGGGTTAAAGTATTAAGCTGTTTTTGGAGACCAATTTAAAATCTGGGAAAAATTCTTTTTAAATGAAAGGGAAGGTGCTATTGCCTCTCGCTCACATGAATTGTCTTGCTTTTGTGAGTAGTCCCGGGTCTTCACTAGAATTACTTGAGTGAGCACCAATGTTGGATCAGTTTCTTGTTCAATTGATTTGTGACTAGAGCTTGCTAAATGTGGCTGAAGCATTTTCTCTTCCATCAAGCTCAGTAAATCTGAAACTCTTTCCAATAAGTGAAAACTGGAAAATTCATCTTAGTGAGATGCTAGCTCAGGAAAATGGGGACAGGTTTAAATGCCTGCGTGAGTGTTTGTCTAAATAGAAACTTCAGTCTGGTGTTTCTATCCACATTGGCTGGCTGTTGTCAGACAATAGGAATGAAAGAAAGGCAAGATCTGCTGCTCTAAAGTGCTGTTAAAAACACTGGAGTTCTGCAGAGCTGCTCCTTTTCCACTTGAGGACTGCCAGGGCCTAAATTCATCTCAAGACTGACATGCAACCAAGTGAGATTTCTTGGCTACTTTGTCTAAATCAGAAGCAATGCTTTACTTTCACCCCCTAGACAAAATTATTGCATCAATGGCCGTAATGTTAGAATTATAGGATGGAGGTATAATGAGTGCTGTCGGCTTCTGGGATGGTCTTTTGCCTTCTTTCCTCTTGCCTTTTGGAAATTGGTCCCAGCTAAAGCAGTGTGGGGCTGTTCTCAGACTTTTAAAGATTGATTTGAAGGGAAATTGCTGAACAAGAAATCATCCATAGACTGGATTGTGTCAAGTATGGTTTAAACAGGGACTGTGGATTTTTATCCCATCACCTGGGTTAGTTTCTGGTGATCCCTTTGTTCCTATGGGTTTACCGCTTGTTTGATCGCCTCTGCCAGCACTGCTTGCCTCCCCTCCCTTATCTTCTGTATTCTGATTTCTCTCTCCTTCTTATGCTTTGGTTTCTGCATGTTCTTTCACAACATCTGATGAAGTGAGCACCATTTCATATAACCAGAACATGATACCAAAATTACAATAGCTGTGGTTGTTCTGACTTGGGGCCTGTTTTTTTTCTCTTTCATTTGTCTAGCCATTACCTAGTCATTGCCCTGGACCAAAACTCAGCCACGCTACTAGTGTAATTAAAGTAGAAGGTACACCAGAGGTGACAAAAGAAGCTGAAAGTAAGTCAAAAGGTAAGATTAATACACGTGTTTGCCTCTGGTTTGCTTTGTGCTTTTTGGAAGTGCCCTGTTATAGAATGAAGCAGCAGAAATAACTCGTTCTATAAGAATGAAAGTCAGCCTTTTGGGGAACAAAATTCAGGGCATAGTACTCGTTTGCCCATGACCCCTGGAACAAAAAGTAGATTAAACCACTACCAATTCTGATTGCCTTCTTGCCTTTGCAATTCAGCAGAGCTAATTTATACAGTGCCCTGTGAGTATGGTGCCAAGCAAAACCCTTAGCAGACATAGCAGGATACTGCCTAGCACCAATATGGGATCCATTTTTTAGATTTGGGGCAAATCCAGTTTCTGGGGCACAATCCCAAAATTCAAAGTTGTGGATAGTTAGCTGCTTTAGACTAAGCCTTTACGTTTTCTGTTTAAAAAATATATCTAGTAGTTTACATAATGAGATGTAAAGATATACAGATACATGATAGAGTAGAAAAAAGATGCATAATACATTTAATAAGATGTTTTCAGCATTTGTTACAAGTACTAACTTGTTTGAAGCAGGCTTATCCACACTTTACAAAGGAGTGGAAACTAGTCAGAGGATGTAGTGAAGGCTTGTCTAAGCAGGGAAATCAGGATACAGAGTACGAATTACAGCGCACTGTCTCATGGTAACTTTCTATATAAACAGACAGCACGTGCTACCTCCTGCACAGCCCATGTAGTAACAGTACTTGGCCTGCTATAAATTTATACCCTATCTTATTTCACACATAGTCTCTCCATGTAGATGAGTCCTTATTTTTTTTCCAAGTTTTGCCTGTAGTAAATTCAAAGTATCTTCAGATAATTAGATTCCAGATGTAATTTTGTCCATATAAGTGTTCTCACTAAAAATATAAGGGATCATCTAAACAAAATTGGGCAGATTGAACTAACAATGTATTTTTAAACTACATTAAGCAAGTCCAAAATTATGTGGGTATTTTTCTATATCTGTTTAAACCTCGCTGCCTGCAGTTTAGTACACATCTTCATTTTGCACTGTTTTTCCTGCAGGTTTATTTGAAGGTGTGTATTTAAAGCAATTAGCTAAATTGGTTCAAGTGTGTGTGTATAAACATCCTTATACCAAAATAAGTGGGTTATTTTAGTTCAGGCGAGTCATGTTTTTAAGCAAACTTAAACAAGGACTGGTTGGAGTATTGGAGCATGACTGTAGCTGAACAGGAAGTGACTTTCTTTAGCTGACAGTTGTGTCAGTAAAAGCCTTCATGCAAATGAAGTTTTGTTACACTAGTTTTGATGAACTGAATAAGCTATAGTGGTGTAAGTATTTTCATATAGGAATGACTTCAGCTATTCTAAAACAAAGGAAGGCAGAAAACCCCAGAGTCCATATCAGTCTGATCACAGGGTAAAATTCTATCCTGATCCCAAATGTGGCAATTGCGCGGATTGGTGGGGGGCAGGACTCTCTGACCAGGAGCCTCTGGATACACCCCAGTCAAAACCCATGAGCCCTGATGCACAGAAGGGGAGGGAAAATCCTTCCTGGCTTCATATGGCAATCAGCAAAGCCCAGAAGCATGGGAAAAAAACCAAATACCTTCCATTCTGCTCTGCACCCTAGGGACAGCAAGCATAAATCCATGCATCACACCCTCTGGCTGGACAGCTAGAATTCTTGTTTCTGTATTGTAAGCTCATCCTAGATGCTTTCATCTTTTTTCATAAGTAAGTCGGTGGTGGAGCTCTGCTTTTATTCTCTTGTTGCTGAGCATGGTGCTCTCCAATATCCACCAGCTGTAGCTGCAGAGCTCTTCACATTATCTCCCAGAGATCTGTTTTGGGGTGCTGGGGGTGCTTCTGGCCTTTCCCTTTTTGCTGTTCACAGCAAACTCCAGACATTGGTACTCCTAAATCATCCCCACCCAATGCCAATTCAAAATCTTCCTGATCCAATGATGGAGATTCCACAATTTCCCTAGGCAATTTGTTCCTTTGCCTCGCTGCTCTAATATGAAGAAGTTTTTCCTGATATCCAATCTGCTGCATCTTCAAGCCATTGGCGCACATCCTGCTTTCTGCAGCAGTGGAAAAAAACAGATGTTCCCCTTTTCTTTATGGCAGCTCTTCAGACCATTTGGAGACTACTGTCATGTCCCCTCTTAAGTACCTTTTCTGTAGGCTGAACACAGCTGTTTCTTTTAACCTCTTCTCATATGGTTTGGCTTCTAAACGCTTTTATCTTCCCTTATTTATTTATTTATTTCTACCTGCCTGCCTTTAACGCTCTAACTTCTCCACTCCCTTTTTAAAATATGGAGTCCAAAAATGCACCTAGCACTCTGCTTGACCCTGGTTAGGTCTCATCTAAAAAGCCACTATTACCTCCTGTTTCTTGCACCAGATGTTCCTATTGATGCAGTCCAAAACTGTATTTGTCTTTTGTGCAGCACTATGGGCACATTGAGTCTGTGATCCACCAGGATTCCTAGATCCTTCTCCATAGTGCTGCCACCCAGCCAGGCATTTGTCACCCATTTTGTATTTGTTTTTGATTATTCTTCCTGAGGTATAGCACTTGCATTTGTTAGCGCTGGCCTTGATCCTGTTGGCTATAGCCCAGCTTTCCAATCTATTAAGATTTTTCTGAATTGTGCTCTCATCTGCCCTTGTGTTTACAATCTTTTCCAGTTTTGTCATCGGTAAATTTTGCTCAGGAAGTAGTTATAGCAGTGTCCAGATAATTAACAAACGTGTTAAAAAGCACTAGGCCCAAGACAGACCCTTGTGGGACTCCACTTGAAATTTCTTCCCATTCTGACTTGGATTCAGAATACGTGGTAATGGATGGGTCATTTTTGACCTGGGGGGATGTGGGCAGTGGGGTCCCCCAGGACTCGGTCTTCGGGCCTGCACTGTTCAACATCTTCATCATTGACTTGGACGAGGGGGTAGAAAGCACCCTGTTCAAATTTGCTGATGACACTAAGATGTGGGGGGATGTGGGCACACTAGAAGGGAGGAAAAGGCTACAATTGGACCTAGATGGGTTACAGGGGTGGGCAGATAAGAATAGGATGGGATTCAACACTGACAAGTGCAAGGTACTGCACCTGGGGAGGAAGAACCAGCACCATACCTACAGGCTGGGGATCTCCCTTCTTGTCAGTGCAGAGGCAGAAAAGGATCTTGGAGTCATCATTGATGCCAAGATGAACATGGGTCGGCAGTGCGGGGATGCAGTCAAGAAGGCCAACCGCACCTTGTCGTGCTTCCACAGATGCATCTCGAGCAGGTCCAAGGAGGTGATCCTCCCCCTCTATGCGGCACTTGTCAGGCCACAGCTGGAGTACTGCGTCCAGTTCTGGGCGCCGCACTTCAGGAGGGATGTGGACAACATGGAGAGGGTCCAGAGGAGGCCACTCGCATGATCAGGGGGCAGCAGGGCAGGCCCTACGAGGAGAGGCTACGGGACCTGAACCTGTTCAGCCTGCACAAGAGAAGGCTGAGGGGGGATCTTGTGGCCTGTTACAAACTAGTCAGAGGGGACCAGCAGGCATTGGGGGAGTCCCTGTTCCCCTGAGCACTACCAGGAGTGACCAGGAATAACGGTCACAAGCTGGCAGAGAGTAGATTTAGGTTAGATATCAGGAGGTGCTACTTCATGGTTAGGGCGACTAGGATCTGGAACCAACTTCCAAGAGAAGAGGTGCTGGCTCCTACCCTGGGGGTCTTTATGACGAGGTTAGATAATCACCTTGCTGGGGTCATTTGACTCCACTACTCTTTCCTGCTATGGCAGGTGGGTGGACTCTGATCTGCTCAGGTCCCTTCCGACCCTACCAACTATGAAACTATTCATTTATAATTTCCCTCTGCTTGTGCACATTGATTCAGTTTTCTCACCACCTAGTAGTAGTTTTGTCTGGCCCCCAGTTCTTTGGTTTGTTTATGAGGTCATGTGGGACTTTTGTCAAAACCTAACTGATGTCCAGATACAGAATATCCGCTGCATTCATCCACCTAATAACTTTGTCAGAGATGGAGATCAGGTTTGTTCAGCATGATATGTTCTTAGTAAATCCATGCTCGCTGCTTGTGATCAGCCTTTTCTCCTCCAGATGCTTGCAAATGATGTCATCCAGTAACTTCCCAGATATTGAAATGAGGCTGACAGATCTGTAATCCCCAGGTCCTCCTTTTTGCCGCCTTTAGAGAGAGGCAGCATGTTGTTCTTTTGTCTAATTCTCTAGTACCTCACCTGTCTCCCAGGACTTTGTAAATATTATCATCAAGGGCTCAGATATCTTCTCTGCCAGTCCTTCAGTACTGTGGCATGAAGTACATCACTCCCTGATTACTTAAATTCATGGAGACCTATTAAAACTCTATTTCTTTTGTAATCTTAACCCTCATTTTATCTCTTTCCTTATCCATATAGTTTTCATTAGGTGTCTGGATTAAGCTTAATATTTGGGAAGACTGAGGCAAAATAAGCATTGAGTAGCTCTGCCTTCTTTGCATCTTCTTTTAAGAGCTCACTCTAGCTATTTATCAGTGGACTCACAGCTGCCTTGGTCGGTCTTTTCTGGCCAACATATTTACAGAACCTCATTATGTCTTTAACTTTCCTGACCAAGAAAAGCTCATTTTTTCATCTTTGTTTCCCTGGTTTTGTCCCCACAAGTCCTTGCTATTCCCTGGTCCACTTCCTTGGTGACCTGCCCATCTTTCCTTCTGCTTTTGAGGCATCCTAGAATCTCCTTCTGCACCCACATTGGTGTCTTGCCAATTCTTCTTGCGCTTCTGTTGTCAGAATGACTTCTTGTTGGGCTTTCAATACTGTGCCCTTTAGAAGTTTCCAGCCCTCCTGGGCCTCTATCCTCCCGTCTGTCTTCCCATGACACCATGTCTACTATCTCTGAGTTGGCTAAAATCTGCCTTTTTTGAAATCCGGTGTCTTTGTTCTGCAGACGTCATATTTTTGCCATCTCACGATCATG